CAAGGACAAGGCTTATAGCCTTCACCAGATTTTTGAAGATGCCTGTGACAACAAAAAGGTAAAGAATCATATTTGCTAAGGCTCTCATTTCCCCAAACATGGCTGTCACAAGGATTCCCCAGTTGTTAGGGAGAAAGGACTACCCTCAGCCCATAATAAACTCTCACCAAGTAATCCTGGTCATCAATGCCAAATCGATCACGGAGATTCCTGAAGACCTGGGGACAATATTCCTTGAACTTGAAATGACTGGGCAGATTTTCCCTGAAATAGGGATTGGATTAAAAAAACCAAAGTTAACAATATTACCTTACATTTACATAGGGCTTGACAGTTTATAAAGCACCTTCCCACATATTACCTTATTTGATTCTCATAAAACCCTTGTGAGGTCCTTTAAAGGTATATTATTCCCATTTTATAGAAGGGGAGGCTGTGGTTCAGGGTAGCTGAGCAACCTGCTTTAGTCACATGACTAGTAAATGGCTTGCATAGAACCAGGTTCTACTGTCCATCCAAACAGCAGCATTTCCCAAATCTCAAGTAAATCAGAGACATCCTAAGTCAGCAATAGGTGCCACTTTTTAGAATGGCATCTTCTGATACTAGGAAGGTTTAGATAGATCTTTTTCAGGGAGTCCCTAGAAGAAACTAATGGTAATGGCATCTAAATGTATTTAATCTATTAAATTTAATATAATTGCTAGGCAAGAGAAGAGATAAACTAGTACATAGATATAACAGTGTAGGGAACACTGAAAATTATTACTATTTTAAAATATGTTTTTATTGATTTTTTAAGAGAGAGAGGAAGGAAGAGGGATAGAGAGATAGAAACATTGATAAGAGAGGAACATCATTGATTGGCCACCTCCTGCACACCCCCTATCAAGGATCAAGCCCGAAACCAGGGCATATGCAGGAACAGGGAATCGAACCATGACCTCTGGGTTCCTGGGTTGACACGCAGTCACTGAGGCATACCGGCTGGGCTGAAAACTATTTTAATGGTTTCTTTGCACGATACTGAATTTGTGCACTGGGAAGGAGGTTAGACAATACAATTTGTAAGTTGTCTTCTAAATCTAAAACCTTCAACTCACTGAATCTTAACTCTCAAAATTATTTACTCTTTTCTACAAAGGATGATGTGAGAAGGGCGGGAATTCCCACATACCTGTGGAAAAGGTGATTGTTGACCTTGATCTTGGAGCTGGCCTTAAAGTCATCTGGCAGCAGCATCACAGGGGGAGGCACCTGGCTGAGCTCATTGATCTGATTGATAAACCAAAACAAGAATAGGGAAGCAGTGAGTAGGGGTGTAGAGAACTACTCATACACTGTGTCTGGGCAAGAATCAGAAAAGGGCAACTCAAACCTCATTCTTTTAAAAACACTATGTATGCATTTGCTTGACAGAGGTGTGAGGCTGTGTCTGACCTCTTCTGCTGCCCAACAAGGACTGCAGTAAGCAACCCTCACACAGAGCCCCTCACACTCCCGCCCCCAAGGAACTTCATGCTCACAACAGTCATTTTATATCAGGCAAACCCTGTAAGCAACTCAGGACTATTTTTAAAGCTGTGAGTAATTCTAGAGAAAAAAAAAATACCCTCAGCAGACTCAAAACACTCAAGACAAACAGTTCCATGCTCCATTAAAAACAAAATAAAAGGCATTTTAAAAGTACACAGAGAGTTAATGGGACTCTGAGAGGTCAGCAGCAACAAGGATGAATCCTGGCAGGAGGCATCTCCTTACAAAGGGGACCAGTTCTTCCAGACCACTCTCTGACCCAGTTCTCTGCTGTAGATCCCACCTGCCTAGGTGTAAAGTAAAAGAAGAGCAGCTGATTTCAGAGGGAAAGTCAAACCAACCCACAACCCAAAGGATACAAATATCACATGCTCTCCTCAGCCTCCAGAATCAGCAGTCTGCTAATTCAGGATGGAAAGGGAGTTCTTGAGATGTGCTTTCTCCCCAGTGTTGCCACAGTATCTGTCACCCACTTTTAATTGTGCACTCATCATATGACTAACTGCTAGTTTATGTAAGTTCCCCCTCTAGATTGTGAACTCTTCCAGTACAAGGACCAGTGCTAGTTGCCTGCATCTCTCAACTGCCTAGCTAGCAAAATGTTCGGCACACGGTGGTCTTTAAGTGTTTATTAATTGAATAAATGGGTGCCTTGCCTATTCTTACTTGAGCATTAGACAGAGGTTATGAAGTGCAGTCCAACCTAAATCCCATACACTGCAGTGAAGCCCAGATCCTCTCATTCTCAGTAGAAAAGGAGGCCAGAACACACTCCTCCAGAAAAAAACAACAACAAAAAACCCCGCCACTTGAGATTCCCAGCCTAAAATTCAGCTATAGTTCTTTATGTCCCCTCTTTCACCACCTGCTGTAAAACAGGCTGAATCACCACTAAGACATATGTTCAAGGAATTTCTCCATTCCACACACTTGAAGTAAATGTGTGTTGGCTGGAGGGTAGTGTGCTGAAGCTAAAGTACACAGACCTAGGGACGCTGAGGCAGGTCTTATGTGTAATTCCCTCAATTCTTACCAAAGGAAAACCTTCATGGTTAAGCTTCCCAAAGAAATGGATGAGTCACCGGGAAGGTACATATGAGAGGCAGCCCTAACTACATCCGATCTGTCCATACCAAGTGCCTTAGACTGGGTACTCCTTGATAAGACATTACCACCCAGGGATCTGGGGGCAGTCGACAGAGCCACAAATGCAAAAGGGAGCTGACAGAGCCCAAACAATACTTTAAACCACAAATTAGGAAGGTGGCAAAAACTGTATTCTTCCTCAACCCCTTCCACCTCCACAACCCTGCCGTGACTATAACAGTTCAAGGAAGTTGATTTCTAAAACACTGCCTGTTAAATTCAAGATCACTGCATCCCTCGCACTCCAGATCTAAGGGCCAATGGCTGTGATCCCTTCAGCCGAGGTATCCTCGGGAAGGGAGACGCAGCGTCCTCTCTGGCCTCCTCCTGATTCCCAGGCGCGCCCTCCACAGCAGTTTCCAGCTTCTGAAGCTCACCACCACAGCGACCCCAGGACCACAGCTTCTCAGCCCCTTCTTTAGTCAGAGAGGGCCCCACCTACACCAAACGCCGTCACCCCAACCAACAACGGGGATGCAGCGAAGACCAGAGGCTGAGCGAGTTCAACCGCTAGGCTCAGGGAGGGGTCGCTTGCGTGAAACGCCGTACCTCAGAAGGGGAAGGAAGGGGCAGCAGGATTAGAGGGTCCGGGAAGCCTGGAGCTTCCCTCAGAGCCCAGGTTCCAAAGCCAAGGACGGCAGCTGGGAAGCAAGGTGGAAAGGAAAGCGAGCGGCCCCCGGAGCCAGCCACCCTCGGGGCTCCCGGTCGCTCTCACCCTCGGCGGGACCTCAGCACCGCCAGCCCGCAGGCGCCACGCCCCCTGCTGTCCGGGCCGCAGCCGGGTCGCGGCCGGTCTCCGCAGCCTGGGGCTGGGGCTGGGCTGGGCTGGCAGGGAGGCGGGAGCCGGGTTTCTCGTGGGGAAGGCGGAACTAGCGTGGAGGAGTAAAGGGCGGAGAGCCAGACAAAGTCTACGGGTAAGAAAAAAAGTCTAGAGGGAGAAGACACAGCCGGAGGCTGGCGAGCAGGGAGCAGGACAGCCCGGGGAAAGGTGGCAGCTAGAGCGGCGCCGGAGCCGGGAGCCGGGAGCCGGAGACAGGGACGCCCCGAGGCGCGGGAGTTTGAGGGGTTCGGACAGAGCTACCGGGGGACTAGGGCTGGGTCTCACCGAGTGGGCTACGCCCCACAGGAACACGCCCATCAGTGGGTCAGCCGCCCGGAACACCTTCACCTTCTGCTGCACGAAATGCTTCTTCTTGGTTTTTGAGGCGAAGCCGAAACCCTGGCCTGGGGCCGCTGTACTCGCCGGTACGGTGGCCGGCGGGGCCGAGGAGGACGCCATGGTCTCCCGCGTACCCGACCCAGTGGAAGCCCGAGCCCGCAGCGATCCGGGCTCCCAACCCCGGAAGCGGCGCTCACCTGCGCTGCCGTCACGTGACCGGAGGCGGGCCCTCAAGCGGCCGAGCCGGCTGGGTGGGCGGGGCGATGCTGGCCCCGCC